AGAGGAAGGACAATCATCCACATTCCCACAGGCCAGAAAAACAAAAGTAAGTAGCTTTTTTGTTTGTATAATGAGAGAAGAATGCAAGAGTACAGCACAAAAAATGCAAATCCTATCAATTAATTCTCACGTGTTCAAATAGACAAACAAAGGCCATATGGAGACATAGATTCTACTGAGGCAACATGTGCACGGCTAGGATAAAATATTTAACACAGCAAGAGCTTAAAAAAAGAAAGGGCTTTCTTTTTTTCCTCAGCTTAATATGAAGACACGTGTATTTCCTTCATGAAAACAGAGGGTTTTTTTTGCAGTGAAGTGTATGATATATTTTATTGAAGAGCTCAAGCTTTACAGTTTAAGTGAGGTAGAGGTTGCCCTATCTGGTGAAATGCTGTCTCACTCAAGAAAGTACTAATATGCCAAGAAGCTTGTGAGTGAGTGGTTAATATTGCAAGTCTTCTCAGTTTTTCCGAATCAGTGCAAACTCTAAAGTGGAGTCCTCATCTGTGCCCGTCTGTGAGGCATAACAAGAAACACTTATGCCGTTTGAGCAAGAATAAAAAGTTTAGAATAAGATGACAAAGTTCCCCTTTCTGAGAATCGCTATGGAAGCTGGGAAGCATGTATAAAAGGAAGAGGTTTCCCAACTCTGGAAAGTTCACATGGCAGAAATAGTTTAAGATTGTGTTGTAATTCAGAACCCAGACGAGACTTGGCAGATCCTTTGTTTTACTGAGGGATTGGTTTCTCATTTGATCAATTGAACTGATCTGTTAAGAAATTATTATATATATATATATATATTATAAGAATATAAGCAAATTTTAAAACGTCTGCCTCTTACAGAGAAAAATGGGAAAACAAGCCTCAAAGTTCTTTAAAAGAGGATGTTGTGACCTATTTTATCCAGTATAGGAAGCGGATCACATCCATAATAAAGTGGGGGGATTGGATTTAGTAAATTCCTAGTTTGTTACTTTGTTCTGGTTTGGGACTAAAGTCCTTTTGATTTTATTTTTACCTTTCATCAGTGATTGGTGACAAAACAAAAATATATCTCAACGCAACACTTCTGGCATTACCTTAAATAGCTTCAAATGAGATACCAAAACTACTTGGTGATGCTAATGACTGCCTTTTACATTTGTTGCCCACTTGAGTACTTGAAGTTTCGTATCATTTGAATTTAATTAGAGGTAGTTATTATCCTTGTGAGCACATCATCCATTGTGTAATATTTTGAGGAGAACATAACCCTATCATGTTTCAGATATTTTTCATTACTCACAATTGAAAATGTTTGAAAATAATGCTCAGTCCCACTAAAAGAATTAAGAATGAATACAGAATATTTACTCCACCACTTGGCCTGGGGATGGTTCAGGGTTGTATGGTACACACTTCTACAGAGTTATTTAATATGCAGATGGAGATGTGTCAAGTATGAGCAACAGTGGCAAGTGTTTGCATCAGTGAGAGATTAAGAATGAACATTGCAGCTGGAGCACAGCAGAGTAGCACATTGGACGTGGATATGATTTGGATATGATGTTTTTGATGGCTTTCCTTGTTATAGTGATGCAGTATATTGTGTTGTGTATTCACCTTCATGAGCATAGAAAACTAGATATATGCAGAATAAATGATTTGGTTCTTTGTCTTTTTTCGTTTCTTAAACTCAAAACAAAGCACAGTGATCATGAAGTTGTGTAGAATCAGTTATGATTGTAAAAATAGTCCTTTTTTTTTTGTCCCAAAGTGGAGCACCGGGTCACAATGTCAAATTTGGTGTGCGCTGAGTGGGAGGTATCTCCTGATCATAGTCCTCCAAACAGGTCATATTCAGAGAATTCACCAAGGTGAAGGAGAAACATTCATCAAGCCTTGTCTGAATGTGAGAGCACTTAACAACTGGTGCAAAAAGCTTTTCACCTTGGTGACTGTTTCACTCCCAATTTGACCTACTTTCAATTTCCCGGTGTGCGTAAGGATAAGGGCTGTATGGTGGCGTGGCGGTCACACAAAGGTTGTGTGTTCTACAGGTGTACGTGTGAATTATTTCTCAGTTCTGTAGCTTCTGTCTGATTAAGTAGGTAAAGAACATGGATAGATAAATCATGTATATGACATTGACATTTATACATTAATCCTGCCATCAAAAGCCCTGATCCAACTCTTTTGCCATCTCATGAGGGTCATTTGCTCTTATAAAAGTTAAACTATCTTTCAATAAACTTTTTTCACCCCAAGTCAAAATATATTGGTACAGTTTTCATATAATTCAACTCCATTTTCCCTTACACTCCGTACATTCTTTATCATTATTGGCTGCTTGCAGGAATGACCTCCTGTATTGCTTTGTGTTTCACAGGAGCTCTTGCTGAAAACACTAGTGCAAGATTTCTCTTTATGGTGAGAAAGAGGAAATGCGCATTTTCCCGAGAAATATTAGCTCATCTTAAAAATAATGGCAGCAACATTTCTCAGAAAAATGGTGAGGTGGTCAACAAAAGACTGGAAGTGAAATATGTTCATATGTCATAAGACATGGATGGATGGATGGATGGATGGATGGATGGATGGATGGATGGATG